CCATCTACCCACCATCCATCCACTCACCCACTATCCATCCATCCTTCATCCATCCAACATGTCTCTATCAAGAATTACAGCACCCATTTGCCAAGCAGTACTCATCACTCCATGCTGGAGGTCGGGGCTGCATTTGTGAACGTGACAGCCCCAGTCCCCGCTGTCCTGCAGCTAACATCAAGCAGGAAATTCAAACATGAAAAAAGCCCAAGTGGTTATTTCATGATAGTAGTGACAAGCCCTACTGACATCACATGCCGGATACTATGAGGACACTTGGACCAGCTGGTCAGCAAAGGCTTCCTCAGGAGGGGCGTGAGGCTCAGCCTGAAGCCTGAGAAGTGGTGGGCAGCAGAATGGGGATGTGACGCTCCTGACGTTGGAAGCAACTTGGCCGTCCCTGCAGCGGGGAGTGTCCTGAGCTGGGGAGGGCCACAGGAGGTGGGGCCAGAAACATAGGCAGGTCTGGTGACACCAGCTCGGGGGCTCTGGGAAGGGAGGGGAGTTGCTGCAGGTGGTGACTGAGTGGCCTCGTTTGGGGGAGGGGAGGAGAGGGCCAGGTCACCAGGCCTGGCTGAGGCATCTGGACTCAATCCGGAAGGCCCTAGTGAGCCATGGGAGGTGTTTGAGCAGGAATAGACACACCTGCCCTGACGGAGCGGTGGTCTTTTTGCAGAGGGTGACTCAAAGAATGTGACAGAACCTGGAAGGGGACAGCAGAGGCACTTTCAATAAAGCAGCAACAGGCAGGTACGTGGAGGAGCGTACGAGTGGATGAGGGGTGCACGCCGCAGGCAGGCGTCCCGGGCGGCTTTCATGCCACGGTGGCCAGCGGGAGGTGAGAGCAGAGCTCGCCCTGCCCGTAGGATATTTCAGTCCCCTACGCGGTAGGTCCTCACTTAACATGGCGAGAGGTTCTTGGAAACTGACTTCAAGCGAAACAAAAGCCAATTTTACCGCAGGCTAACTGACACAAACAAGACTTAAATTTGCCTAAAGTCACCAAGAACCTTTCAAGAGGCCGAGTGAGGGCTTCCCGCCATTGCAAATAGAACGTACGCACAGAGCCTTGCGTGTGACCAGAAGCGGGTGTCTCTGTAACCTCTGGACCTAAACCCAAGACTGGACCGAGTGGAAACCGTCCGTTCCTTTGCCTTGAAGTCTCCAACGCCCCGTGGCATCTTGTGTGTCTGTCCCCACCTCTGTCAAACAGCTCTGTGTGGTGCCAACGATCTGATAGGCGTGGTGCCAGCTACTGGGTTGCTCAGCAGCAATCCGTGGGTGTCTACCGTAAGCCAGGTGTTGTTCTGGGGGAGCCAAACGGAGGCCCCGGGGTGGGGACAGGAAGTGGCCGGGAGGCTGGCTCCAGAGAGGGCTCCCAGGTAAGGCCGTGGCTCTGCCCTCGGGTGCCCCCAGAGGCCAGATGCAGGTGCATGTGAAGGGCAGGGAGGTCGCAGCGACCTGAGGGTCTCAGCCCCTAAACCGGAAAGAAAACCCCACCAGCCCCAAGCCCTTAAAAGCAAGAGATCCCCCCTGCCGTGTCCCTGAAAGGCAAATGTCAGACTTTGGGTCCCAGAATATCCAGGGCTGAGTCCCCCAGGGAAATGCGGAGCGCGTGGGGACTGATGCCAGCATGTCTATTGCCTGCTGATGACAGGACCTGTCCCTGGACTGTGACCGTCTAACAGGGCTGGGTGGGGGCTGGAGGATGAGGAGACCTTCAGAGGCAGTCTAGCATGGGGCTAGAAGTGCGGGCCTTGGAGCCAGCCAGGCCTGGGTTTAAATTCTCACACACCACTGTGTGACCTTGAGCGGGTGACTTCCGCCCTCCAAGCCTCAGTTTCCTCGTCTGTAAAATGGGAGTGCTGGGGAGGAGTGCCTCAGGAACCAAGTACAATGCCACCCCATAAAGACTTCGCAGCGAGTTAAGAATTTAATCTTGGCAGCAACTGGCCTCTTTCTGGTGTTTGCGGGGAGGCGGGTTGTGGATTTCTGCCCCCGCCTCTGCCCCCGCAGCGGCCCCTGTTCATCCCTTCTTTGCTTCCCTTTCCGCGGTTTGCAGGGACACTCCTCCACTTTCTGCTAAACCTGGGAGACAGTCGGGGACACAGCTTGGCGCCCGGGCTCTACGATCGGCTCAGCAGAGCAAGACCCCAGAGATGCCCAGAGACAGGACAGCAGCTCTCGGTCCCACAGGCCCTGCCTGGCTGCTGACTGCGGGAGCCGCTTCGCAGCTCCAGGTCCCTGTCTTACTGTCCCAGACAGCAGACCTTGCAGCTCCACAAGCTCTTTCACCAGAAAAGAAGCTGCTGCCTAAGTGAGCTTTTCTGAAGCCCCTAAGACAGGTCAGCATCCTGGTATTCTGTGCAGATTTCTCCCGAGTCTGGCCCTGAGAGGCACATGCCCATCCCAGAGGTTCTCAGAGTAGCCTTGGCCGAGGGAACTGGAGACGAACTTGGCTGCCAACGCGTGATTCACAGCTTTACCCACCTGGTGCTCTCGAGAGGCTGCGCCCAAGCCCCAATGTTAGCCGAAGGTGGGAGGCGGTTATTGAACAATAAAAACTACAAAACGAGACGTTCAGTCCCTAGTGTCTTGTAACACTTTGTCACTGTTTAATCGGGGTGGGAGGTGGTGTCAGCTCAGCTCTGCTTCTGTAACCAGGAGCGCCCGGGCCACACGCGTCCCTGTGTCAGTGCGGATCCCCCAAAGCAGACCCCGGGAGGGGGATTTGCTGAAAGTGATGACTAGGGAGGCTCCTGGGTAAGAGCGGCAGGGGGGTGGGGAGGTGGGACAGGAGGACAAGGCGTCTGACAAGAGGGTAGCAGGGGCCCCCGAGGGCACCTTTGGTGTACGCCCTCCGGGCGTCCTAGAGGCAGCCCGAGTCCCACCAGGGCCAGCGAGGGAGCCGCAGTGTTTATAATGCGTCCACCACCATCGGCGAGGGCAAGGGCTGCCCCTGAGGGGGAGGGTTGTCAATTCCAGGGGCAGCCCCCGGCGGGAAGGGCACAAAAGGACCCATGGGAGTGTGTGCAGAGCCCTGAGGGCGTCTGTTACACAGTCCAAATGGCGACAGGCTCTGCACACACTGTGCACACACACACACACACTGTGCACACACACACACACACGCACACACGCACACACACACACACACACACACACACACACACACACGTCTCCACAGGCTCAGGGGGAATGATGAAACTCAACCAATAAGCTTCCGTGCAAAACAGCCGCGTGGTGATGGGTATCGAAGGTTTGACAGGACTCAACCTTTTTGATTCCAAAATGGGCTTGTGCGGAGGCAACACCCGAGTACCCATATTTTAACACACCCACCCTGTGCACTGGCCACCCACCCACCCACCGGTGCACACGCTCTTTCTCCCTGTAAAACCCACATCGTCTTGGAAAACACCCCAGGTCAGGATTAAGGTGCCGACTGACGGCCGAGAGCCCCTTCGCGTCATTTCTGAGCATTGGCGCATTCGCATTACTCAAGAAGCATTTTCTTCGTGTGTTGGGAGGAACGTGAGGAAAAAATAGCTGCGTGACTCACATAAAGTCATATAAAGTGAGTGTTTGTCACACTGCCTGCGGGGGCCTGACCTCCGCTTTGATGGGGAAGAAACATGACTCTGCCCGAGAACAGCAAGTTCCGTGGGAGACAAACACATTCCGCTTCGGACAGCGAGGTCTGTGCGGATTCCAGGCGCGAGTCCTGCTGCAGGATGCACGCACGTGAGCTCTGTGGGCAAGCCCGGGGTCACAGCCAGGGTCACTCTGAAACCACGGGCGCCCCGCCTGAGCCGGATGGCCACCTCGCTGGCCTGGAGTTGGCCGGAGCTCCTGGGAGTTCCTCAGGGCTGAGACAGGGGTCTAGGGGACTGTCCACGCCCCACTGGCCACACACAGTGGAAGCAGAGACCCGGGTGGGCCTGGCAATTTCTGTGCATCTCTCAGACGAGGAAACCGAGGGTCTCAGAGTTCTTACAGGACTCACCCAAAGTCATGAAGCCAGTGAGAGCCCTGCTAGTCCGGCCTGTCGAAGCGGAGTCCCTGCAGCCACCGAGGCCCAGGGGGCACCTGCTGCTGCGGGTCCTGCAGAGGGCTCTCGGGTCAAGGGCCGGGTCAAGCCCAGCCCTGCTTCCTGGGGGCTGCCCCCTAGCTGGGCTGGAGAGGAGGCTGGAGACAGGTCAACAGGTTCCAGTCCTGGGCAGGTGTGTGCCCCTGTGAGCCCAGCCTCTGCGAAATGAGGGCAGGAAGGGGAGCTGCCTTTCCGAGTTGCTGGGCCAGGGGAGGGATGAGTGTGAGATGCCACATAGTAAGTGCTCAATAAACAGGCACAGTTATACTTCCTATTATTATTAGCCTGGCATAGTACATGCTAATTCTCTTAATCCTCACAAAACCTGATAAAGAGGGTATGAACATCTGCATTGTCCAGCTGTGGAAATTTAGCCTCAGAGAAGTTAAGCAAGTTGCCTAGGATCACCCAGCAAGCACATGGTAGAGCTGAGCTTTGAGCTCAGGGCGCTGACACCCGTCTAGATGGGCTGGTTCTGCTCTGTGACCCTCAGCAGTTACGGAACATGCCCCAGCCTTGGGGGCCACCTTTCTAAAGTGTCAACGAGAACTCCAACCTCACAGGGTTCTTGTGAACTTAATCAAGATCGTTACGAATGTGAGCGAATTGTCAACTAAGATACAAATGCCAGGGTGGGAAGGTGGTCATGTACTGCCACGGGGTGGAGACGCGGAGAAAAGTAAGACCTGCTTTCTGCCCTCAGGGAGCCCGCAGTCTTTGAGGGAGTCAGAGGAACAACCAGGGGCAAGGTCTAGTGTTGGGGACACACCTGGGAGCAGGGGTCAGGGGCGCCGAAGAAGCCTGGAGAGGGACAGTCGGGGGACTGTTGGGGACAGAGGGAGGGGCAGTCTGGGAAGGCTTCCTGGAGGTGGTGGCATGGGAATGTGGTCATAATTAATGTCCGAACAGTCCCGGGAACGTTTGCATCTCCAGGGGACCGACCGCTCTCCCTGTTTGATTTAAGCCAGAGCGTCTTGAGCTCGGCACTACTGACGTCTCGGGCAGGATCATTCCGTGTGGCGGGGGCTCTCCTGTGTGTGGCAGGATGCCGAGCAGCAGCCCTGGCCTCTACCCGCTAGGTGCCAGTAGCACCCTCCCCGCAAGTTGGGACAACCACAAATGGGACGTTGCCAAAGGCCCCCGGGGTACAGTTGCCCGGTGAGAACTTCTGGTTTAAGCCCAGTGAATCTCTGCTTTGTGCGATTCCACCCACCAGTGAGTCCCCGGAGTGCGCTCCCCGGGTCCGGGGTCGTCCGCTCTCCCGCTCACGCGCCACTCACTCATTCGCTCGCTCAGAGCGTGTCCTCTCGGGTAGCGCTCCCTGGGCACGAGCCACCTCTTCTGGCCAACTTCTCTCATTTATCACCCTTGTGTTTTTTCTTTGACGGATGCGTGAGAATGATACATGACAAAAAAATTCTGTGTCTGAAAGAGATCTCTAATGAGTTTGAAATAAAAAGATGAAAGCATATGTCGGCCTAGTTGGCAGTGCTTTTTCTTCTAATCGTATATCGAGTTACACTTGAGTTATGGTCTGTGCCACCGTCACTGTTCCCGGCTGAGACACGAAGGGGACAACCTAGAAACAGTCCCTGCCTACGCGGCACCTACCGTCTAGTGGGGAATCATATGTGGAGGGGCAAGGATTTGAACCTCGGCCCGCTGATTCCAAGGGAGCTCAAGGGCCTCCCTCCCTGGGCAGGGAGGCTCCGCCCTGTCCTCCCTGGCATTGGTGGGGGAGACACAGACGGACGGCTGACTGCGGCCAGGTGATGCGCGCCCCACCTGTGTCGGATGCGCCTGTATTTCTTGGCTTCGAATCTAGAGCAGTTTCCCTTCTGAGCCGTCACAGCCCTCCCTTGGACCTGACTGGTTTGGAAACCGGTGACAGTGCCTCCCGTCAGCGCTGAAATCTGAGCAGACATCAGCTGCCTGGGAGGAGGGAGAGCTCTGGACCGACGCTGAGCTCCCTGCTGGTCCTGGGCTGTGCGCCTCTGGACACAGACCTTAGCCCCCCTGAGCCTCAGTTTCCGCTGCTTCGAAACGGGGACAGCACCTGCCGTGCCTTCTGCAGGACCAGAGGGGATGAGGGCAAGACACAGTCCCGATCTTTATGTGAGAATCCTTTCTCCACCTGCGCCGCGAGATCCCAGTGAGCTCCCCACCCTCCCAGTCAGAACGATGGAAACAGCACTTTCCTCCCATTTCCGCCTGGCGAGGAACTGAGTGAGATCCTGGCAGCGAAGCTTGCGGCTCAAGGCCTGGCCCTCAGGAAACGCCGGCCAGACAGAGTCGTGACCTGCCGTCGTGTGAACAGAGGGACGGGACCTGGGGCTGCGGGGAAGCTGCCTTTTGTAGGAGCAGCAGGAGGAGGAGGAACAGAGAGAGAGAGAGAGAGAAGCCACCTTCTGGGTTTTCTTTGGTTTCCCAGCCACCTTGATGCTTTTCCAGGACTTTCTTCCAATTGCAGCAAACGTGGCTGCCCTCCTGTACTACAAGCTTCGAGGCAAGAACTCTGTGGTCCCTGGTAGCCAGCTGCCCCCGACTTTGGCTTAGGCTGGCACGAATGGGCTTGTGTTAGCTGCAACCGAAACCAAACCAAGCCACAAAAGCACGCACTGACTGAGACAGTCTGGCAGGCTGAAGGCCCCAGGGGCTCTGTTGGAAACACTTACGATCCGGGTGCCAGCGACTCCTGCCCCGGACCCGGTCACATGCAAAGAAAAACCCAGCAGGCCGCGGAAGCTCCTGGGCAGCCACCCTGCCTGTGACTGCCAAGAAACCTTCCCATCCCACCCACCCCACGTTCCACACCCACACCCCCTGCTCCCAGAGCTCCGCCAGGGCAAGCTCCACACCGGACCCAGGAACCCGTCTGAGCAGGTGCCTTGAGCCTGGCAACGCCCTGCACACAGAAGCGGTAGTCACAGCTTCACTGGTGACCGCCAGGCTCGGTGCTACGCGACGACTTCTACCATCTCAGCAGCCCTGTCGGAAAGGAGCCATCGTCCCCACCGCCGGCGGAAGGAACAGAGGCTCAGATCTTGGCCTGAGTCAGCGTCTTGCTCAGGGCCACACAGTCACCAAGCAGGGGAGCCAGGCCTTTGCTTTCTTCTTGCACGACATAAACGAGTTTATTACTAACATCTTAAAATATAAACAAAGCACAGACCGTGATGGAGCGGGTCTCTTTGTACTTCTCCCCCAGATAACCGAGACCCTTCCGGTGTTCTAGCCACGCTCCGAGTTGGCCCCAAAGACCCGGGGAGGAGCCGAAGCTCCAGGGCTCGGGGAACAGCTCTCGGCCGTGAGGCTCACACGCGGGCCCCAGGACCCCTCCCCAAGGCAGGTCCCAGCGGCGGGACCCCACGAGCGATCACCGCCCCCATAGCTGGCCCCGCTGCTAGTCTACCACATGCCTTTGTGGGGTGGGGAAAGGGTGCCCATCCTCTGCCGCCAGCACGT